ATAATCAGAATCGATCCACCACCGGATCAAGTAATGAAAAAACACGATCATCTGAAAGACGTCTCAACAACACTAAGCATCTGGTAAACATTGAATCAAACAGAATTCTGTCTAATTCTCTATTGGTACCCAACAGACAATAGAGTAGTTGGACATTGTTTACTTTCCTGAAAATCATCATGATTAATTCATCTGGCAAACGAAGCAGTTGAACGATGAAACTTTCTATCATCATATTCATCTGACAATTTCTTCTGCCTGCGCACGTATCAAACCATAAATATATACACAGCCATTGTCTCTGTCTTTTCTCACCGCTGCCGACAGTCAACAGAAGGAAGCAATGAACTTTCTTTTCGTCCAAGTTAGCGACCAATGAATAAATGATCTGCTTTCTTCATGCTTCAATCAATATTTCTCATCATATGACGCATGAGTTATTCCACTACACTAAGAACTGTGTCGTTCTCTTATTGTATTTCAATTGAATACGATAGAACAATTATTGAACAAAGAGATAAACAAAAAACTGCCGCTATTTATACTAAAATATAATACAGAGATATAGCACAAAGAACTCAACTTGGCAAATTTTCTTTCATGAACTTTTCGAGCGATTTCAATCGTTCGTCAATATGAACCGTATCACTTGCATTCGTCACATTCGTTGTTTTCATTGCGTCAATATCTAAACACATTGAACAAACGATTCTCACAACAGAAAGTCCTCGAATCAAACACACTTTGTGGATCTTGACGATGATGAGGAATGAGATTTGTATGGAACAAAACTTGTAGCATGATTGGATGTTGTTTTTCGTAGAACATCAAGTGGTGGTGAAGACACACCTTCCATATCCTATGTAGATTCACAAAAGAGAGAGAGAAGTTGATCAATTGAGAACATGCCGTTTTTTGACATACAGAGTCAGTTGAATCGTTTGTTTTATATGCACTTGTTGATTTTCGAATTGAACTTCGTCGAGAACCTGATGTACGTAGACCATCGTCACTATCATTTAATCGTAAAATAGTAACTAAACATAGAAAATTAAAGATGAAATAACTCCAAAGAGAGAGAAAGTCCATCGCTTACTGGATCCTGCTTTACTTCCATTACGAGCAGAAAAATCTAACAACGAACGAGAGACATTCTGAAATTAATTGATGGAGGACGAGTAAATTCTCTCACCAACTCATATCAGACTCTAAACCACGAGGATCAGCACTTCGTCTTCGTCGAGGACTTCTACGAACAGACACAAAGAAAAACGATATTCTTGTTATGTTCATAAGAAGAACATCACTTTTGGATTTCAGTTTGTGGTAGTCTGAGATTTCGCTCACGAATATAAGCCGTTGAATTAAACCGACCACAACGATCTAAGTGAGGCGGAGACAACAGACACACAAAAAAGGATCAATTGATATTGTACCTGCAGGTAGGTGTTAGTGACTGTTTTGTGATACTGATCGACTGATAACGAGTTTCACTTCCACTTCGACGAGAATCATTAGAATGCGAACGATGTTTCGAACGACTACGTAATGATAATGTAGATAGTAAATGATCGGAACGAGGCCGACGTTGTTCACCTGAAGGTGGACGTGATGATGAGGGCCGACGATGCTGGGATGAATGAGGAGAATATCTAAACAAAACAATGTTTTGAAGTCACAGACACAGCGCATCTCTGATTCGGTTAGAAGATATCGAAAAATTTGAATACGATCAAATGACGAAGAAACGACGTACCCATTGAGTTGCATAGTTCGTTCTCTCTCGATGATGATCGGACTGTAGTTGAATGATGAAGAGTACTAAACAAGAACAGACAAAGCAGACCTGGATTCTGATCTTCTGAATAGAATTGCCTTCGTTTGAGTAAAGCAATTCCATTGGTCAGACTTCTTATTTTAAATTTCACTTGTCTTTCCGATGTTTTCAATGATTCTACCTAAAATTCGATTTTGTTTGTTAACAATGAAAGGAAAAACGAAAAGTGTACTTGATCATTCAATGTTATATAATCATCATTTTTTCACAGATTTTATTCGTTCTTTCCCCAGAGCATCTCCACTGGCTCCAACCATCTTGACGGAGTAATTCAATTTGTTGTTGCCGCTGTTGGCCACTGGAATTTGTTGAACGATTTGAAGACAACTGTTGACGGAATTCGCAATTGTCTTTCTTTAAAAGAGGAGTGAGGGTCAGAGTGATGAAAGAATAAACTCACACTACCTATAGTTTCAGGCATTCCTGAATTTAATTACAGCGATCTTATAATAAAAAATAACGGTACATATGCAATAGATTTCTTGTATAAAATGTTTGGTTAAGATAGATAGTAACAGAACGAGAGAAAAGGCACGACTATAATTCGTACTTCAAACTTGATGTAAACTACAGATAACATTTTGCCTTTTTTCCTTTGATGCATAGATCTGTTACTCATGTAAACGAGATAAAGCTGCGTCTTCCTTTATAATTGTTAATAGTTTCGGAATTAAATTTATTGAGTTTATGCGTAAGGTTTTGTATGTGATGATTTTTTTAGAGATTTTAATTAAATGGCTGAATCAACCAGTAGTAAGATGCCTAATGCTAGCAATATACCCACTCTAATGAAAGGTGCTTAACAAAGTGGTTTTGGAGAGATACGTAATGTTCTTAAACCTGATGAGAGTGTAAATGTACCTCGTTATTTATCATCGAAGCAAATTCTTGTTCAAGTTTGTGCTGCTGCTATTAATCCAATCGATCGGAAGATTTTAAATGGAAGATTATCACTTGTTACTTGGTATTCATTTCCTCATACACCAGGTACAGATGGTGCTGGGATTGTTGTTGCTATTGGTTCAGGAGTGAAACGTCTTCAAATTGGTGATCATGTTTATGGAGATCTTACCATTCATGGCGGAAGTTATGCTGAATATGTTCGTAAAGATGAATCAATCTTTTCGTTGAAACCAAAAAACTTAACAATGGAAGAAGCAGCAGCTGTACTTTTAGCATGTGATACTAGTTATCAAGCATTGTGCAAAAAAGAATGTTGCACATTTGGGAATCAGTTCCTACGATTCCGGAATTACAACTACTCCCTTCACCCTCACATATCATCTCCCCTATACACGACCGAATTCCGTTCACGGAATTCCCGAATCGTAGGAATCGATTCCGTAGGTGGAACAGGTTCCTAAATGTTCAGCATTGCGGAATAGGGTGACTGCTCGACATTTGCTGTATGTAAAATGCGCCATAGGCGTTCCAAGAAAATGCTAATTAAAAAAAAATTTCCATAAAGTGGATGGGTCCTCATGGATTCATTCATTAAATTCTGCATTGAATAAATAGACTTGTTTTCGTCAACGGGACATAATTTGATGAAAGCTGTAACTAAATCTTTAGTTCATCGTGCTGGCTTCACACTGATCTTTTTATACGAGTTATAACTTTTAAATCAACTAGATTGAAAGCGGAAACAAAAACAAGAAAATTTAGAATTCTTCCGACGAACGTTGTGACCGTCTCGCTGACATGCATTCTACGCATTATAGGATTATTTTCATCTAATGGATTACCCTTATTATGTTCTTACTCCGATACATTGTGACATTTTTATATGATGTTTTCTTGAGTTCTGTTCTATATGGACGAGTATATAAATTCGTGTCGTGCATTAAAACGATGTAGTTTATGGGAAAAATTAATATAGGCGTCATTCTGCCAGCGCTTATATCTCTTCCATGAAAAATCGTCGCACTATGATGAATAAGTATGTGAGACAAAGGTACTATTTCCTTTTCTGAAAGAAAGGGTTATAGTGTATAAAATACGATCGTTAAAATGCTAAAACGTTTATTTGCATAATCCAATCAGATTGCAGTATTTAATAAGTTCAATAAAAACTCATGGATAGTCATTAATAAATAATTGACTGAATGGTACTCGGGGTCGAGGCTCCCGAATCCGATGTTAGTTTTCACAAATACTGATTAATTAATTAGTTAATTAGCTAATAAGCAGTTCTTATAGTGTCGCATAAGAGTTGATCGAAGGGTAATATGGGTCGAAGATGTCAAATGTGGTGTTAATTTTTCAATAGAAAAATTCCGTTCTGTTTTTTTCAGACAAAGGACAATTTTTTGCAATGAAGTTCTCTTTAGACGATAGCGTTTGAAGTAGCAACGTGTAGAACAAAACGAAATAGCTGATTAACGTCGGATTGTTGGATATTCGTACTCATTAGTATATTGATAACATCACAATTATAGAACCAGTTATATTACACAAACATTATCTGACGCTAACCACTCAAAATAATACTTCCCCTGGCAAATGTTGTTTTGGGCAGTCACAGTTGCGCAAAATTGGTTATTCTTCAATAGAGAATGGGAGGAAATGGTTTGATTCATTTTGAAGGGGATTCTAAACTAGACGAAAGATTGAAAGTTGGACATGTAACGGCTGGCTGCGAGTGGCCAGTCGACTAGATATCAATTTGAAGAGTAATATTTTAAACAACAAGCTTTAGCGATTTTCATATAGTTTTAAGAGTTCTTGGACAGAGCTTAATCATCGATTAGGAAGAACATATCCGGCAATCTTTTAAGTTGCCTGGTGATGAATAGATGAACGGAACCTTTCACAGAGAGCAGTATATCTATCTAAGTTCCTACATTTTTTATTATGAATTGATTATCCAGATCGGACTTCTTTTCGGATAACATCTTCATTTGAATAAAGTGAAAAAAGGAGAATACACGGAAACGACTAATCGTGAGTGGCCGATTGAAGCCTGGCCGACGAACGGCTAGGCGTTTGTTTGACCGGCTCAGAAGAAATAAAATAAATGGAAAGTAGTTTGACGTGAATAAAGTAGAAAAGGATAAAAAGAAAAGAATGCGCGTAGAAGTGGCTTTAATTGGAAGCGGATTAGAGTGAGATATACGTGGGCGTTTTTATCTAAAAGTCTTGTCATTTTTTCAGAAAAGTATAGAAAGAATGATTCATCATGAGATCCGCCGTTAGTCTCACTTGAAGAATATTTTCTACATTAAAAAGAATACTCCCAAAGATATTGTTTTATTTCCCCGCCAGCCATAACCCTTAAACACGTGCTCTTTTATATTATATACAAGCTTATTTTCTCACAAATTCAAAATAATTATGTCTTTAGCAGCAATATTAGATTCAATTCAAACAAATTTGTTTCGATTTGGCGGTCCATTCGTAATCATAAATGCGACGATTAGTTGTATACTTAATCTCTTGGTTTTTACAAAACCTACTCTTAGAAAAAATCCTTGTTCAATTTGTTTCATTGCTGTCACCATTGCAAATACTTTATACCTATATTTTGTTTTCATTCTTCAAGTAACTCAAGTTGGATACAATACTGATCCAAGTATAACTAATATTATTTATTGTCGCATTCGATTATACAGTTCATGTGTTGGAAATTGTTTGGGTCCATCCTTCTTGATCCTTGCATCGATCGATCGCACATTAATAACCTCAAAAGATGCAGGAGTACGAAAACGAAGTTCAAATCGTTTAGCTATAACATGTATCATTGTTTTAACTATCTTCTGGATGTTATTCCATATTCATGCATTCTTCTTTGCAGAAATTATACAAGTTGGACCAAATATGTTATTCTGTTTTTCTCAACCAGGAGGGCATACAGTTTTCACGAGCTATTTTGCACTAGTGTTCAATGCAATAATAGTACCTCTCTGCATAATCTTATTTGGACTTTGGACGGTGAAGAATGTAAAAAAAGTACACAATCGCGTGCGTCCTGCTGGTTCATTGGGAAATACGTCGACCACAGTAGGAAAAAATCAACATATTGGATCAAAAGATCATCAATTAATTAGAATATTACTGATTGATATTCTTACCTATATTATCTTTCGAGTTCCATTTGCGCTCTTTCTTGTTTATCAACAAATTACACAATACCAATTGAAATCTAATGATCAAATAGCTATCGATTATTTTGGTTTCAATATTACATATTTTCTTTTCTTGGCTGTAGCTGCTATTAATTGTTATACAAATCTATTAGTTTCAAAAACATTTCGAGCCGAATTGAAACAAACCTTTTTAAAATGTGGAAGTTTTTGTTTCGTTCAACAAAGGGAAAATTGAAAAAGATGATTCAATCAAATCAAAGACATTCATCAAAGTCAATCTCAATAAAGAAGTGTGCAGAAAAATGACAAATTAATACTATCTATGAACGTTAAATGTCGTTTTGTGTCTGTTCTCAAAATTATGCCCTGTGGAAGCTTTGCTGATTGTAAAATCTATGTCGTTACTTAATTACTCGATTTTGTTTTAAAATACAACACAATGAATCGGAAAATAATTTATCTTGATGATAAACAAATATTGTAGTAGTGTCAAACTTGAAAGTTGAATTCAACTATTCCACTATTCAACTATTCAAGTACTTCAACTATTCTACTATTCAACTATACCACTATTCAAGTATTTCAACTATTCAAGTACTTCAACTATTCAAGTACTTCAACTATTCTACTATTCAACTATTCCACTATTCAAGTATTCAACTATTCAAGTATAATACTTGAATACTTGAATACTTGAACTGATAGTTGAATTCAAGTTTCAAGTGTAACACTTATGAATTTCGGGGAACATAGGTCACATCTGAGAGGACAAAATGTTCCGTGTCCCTCACCCACTGAATGAATCACTGCGTGATAGCAATGTATCTGATTACATGAGCGCAATTATAATCTTTTTAAGACTAATTTCAATCGAAATCAACATTCTAGATTATCAATATTTCATAAGTGTTACACTTGAAACTTGAATTCAACTATCAGTTCAAGTATTCAAGTATTCAATTATTATACTTGAATAGTTGAATAGTGGAATAGTTGAATAGTAGAATAGTTGAAGTACTTGAATAGTTGAAATACTTGAATAGTTGAATAGTTGAATTCAACTTTCAAGTTAGACACTACTAAATACAGTTGGAAATTTGAAAGTACAATGGAAGTGCACATTACACTTGATGATTTGTCTGAGTCTGTACGAAATAATTGAATAGATTCTGTTAGAATTCTTTTTTTTCACACATTGCATCTTCTCAATAACCAACAGTACAAAACAAATGATCTTTCTTAAACACATTACTTCTTGATAGTCAAATTTTTATTGAAATATTGTGTAGTTGATTTGTTTATTAATATTCGACATATTTTAACCATTTCAATGTTTTCGTAATGTTAAATATTTGTCTATCGATAAAGGACTTAATTGATTAAGATTATTTTCGATAAGGGTGCGAATATTTCGAAAGCAGACTCTTTAAAGTACCTAATTTCAATTTCAATAATATTGTATATCTTGACGACAGACGGATATTTATTCTCATCATATCGATTATTTTTACTTTATATTGAAAGAGTACTTTGGATTTATCTTTTTTTGAGAAAAACAACAGATGGAATCTAATTCCCGTTATTAGTGTTGTTTTACTGACACTATTTAAACCCTTTGCATGTTCGATTTTCTGTTAGAAATAAATCGAATCAAAGTACAGTTGATCGACATTAATTCCAATGAGACAATCACCAATGTTTCTCTTTGCCATTTGCACAATGATTTTCCCATCGATCATTGTTGCACAATATGGACATTGTGTTGCACGAAATGGTCGTAGTGGAGAATGTATAAATGCAGGTCGATGTAAAACTCTTGGTGGAACATCCGATCCTGCTAATCTTTGTCCAGGAGATCAATCAATTCAAGTAAATTCAATTGAAAGTGAATTTTCAGAAGAAATTTTCTTCTTTTAGTGTTGTACTTATCGTGATTGTCGTAATACTCAAAATATTGCT